GATTGCACCGCACCATGGGAATGGAAACGTGAGTAGCTGCATACCAACCGAACAGATCAGTTAGACTGGGGATGCATTAAAGGTGGTGGAGTGGCGGGGGTGGGAGAGTGAACAGGTGTTGGTGGTGGCGTCACAGTGGTGGATGTGGTGATCCCATCCGTTCGATTGGTCAGATTGATTTAGTATGCTTAACGAAAGAAATGAATGTGAAAAGTCGACGCCAAACAGATCGATGGAAACAACAATGAATTAAACAGTAGAAATAGAGGCACCAAATCTGCCAAAGCGAGAGAGAGAGAGTGGTAGAGAAATGGAGATTGACAGGCAGTTATGAACTGTTGCGAGAAGTAAATGTATCTCAAAACTCATTGCAACCAACCTGGTAAACAGTTTCGTTCGTCATCAGTTCTGACACCATGAACCATGTTGGTTGCTCATTTGGATAAAACAGCAGATTGGAAATTAGCATATGGTGGGCAAATTCACGCGAAAGAAAGCGAATATATCTAGGCTGATGTTACCAGAATAGATAAGTAAATGCATCACCGACACTGTTCGCGACACGTAGTCATATCGGTCAGTGTCTCTAATCATCGATGACCATGATCTCGGGGTCCCCCAGCTGGGCAGCTTAACGGGACCTATGTGACCCAGTGTCCTGGTCAGGGTTTTCATACCCTCAAGCCAGGTCTTTGAACACTCTTGGCCTTTATTCCAACCGCTACTGGCCTCGGGAAACATCTTCTAGAGGAGCGAGAATACGAGCGCCGTAGCACAACATTGTCCACTCTCCTGAGCTACGAAGAGCACGTCCGCAAATACACAGATTCAAATGCAACATTACACAGCAAATCATGATGAACACAAGACTGGCACAAACACACACAGATGTTGTGACCGAAGGCAATACAAAAAGAGTCCCACTTAACGACCGAATCGATTGATGCTCATTTGTTGCACTTGCCTTGTTGCGTCGCAGGGTTTGCCTACTTTTCTCAATGGCTTTTCTCTCCAGTTTGTCTCGCTACTTCGTGGAAAGCTGTTCACCGGATCTTCCGAGTTACGCATCAAGAGGCGTTCTGGGTTC